GTCTAATTCTGATTTCATGAAATTATTTAAACTTATTTTAACACCTCTTGTTAAGCCGAATTACGAGACTTCATCCAAAACTTGATTTTATTGATCTCCAAGAGAGCATTTTACCAGATTAGACAACCAACCTGCGAATTGCATCTTACCAAACCAACTTGAAATATATTCTATTTGTTATAAAAAATTGACATTATCCAATGATAAAAATTACACAATCAATGTTTGAATTGCATCTTACCCAACAAACTTCAAATATATTCAATTTGTTATCAAAATTAAAACACTGATATGAGATAACGTACCGGGTCAATCGAACCTGAGAAACAGTAGGATCGAGTCGGACAGATCAGTAGGTAAAAAACAGACTCGAGAAACAGTAGGACCGTAACAACCACCGCCAACACCCCTATTATTTAATGCACAAGATATTCTATAATAGACAACAATAGGTATATCTCCTGATTTTTGTTGAAAATTACAGATTTTCTTTGTTAACAAAAGGTATAAGAAACTTTAATGATACATTAAACTTATTGACTTCATATCCTAAATCTTCTTCAATTTCTCTTAATTTTCTTATTTCTTTGTGCATAATTCTATTATATTCAATTATTATATTGACTAGCGTTTTAATTCATTCTCTGAATGTTGATCTTAATACTATTTGAATTGTGTATATATATATATATTATGTTATTTTCTTTCTATCTTCTTCTTTGATATTTTATGTTCTTTTTGCTATTTGATTTACTTCTACAAGAGGTGCTTGAAATCGATAATTTGCTTGTTCTATCTTTATAATTTGTTCTCCATTCATAATTTCATATATTATTATTTTCTTTACAACAACAACAACATAATCTTTAGTCCCAAGCAAGTCGGGGTAGGCTAGAGATGAAACCTAAGGAAAACACAAAAAAGACTCGAACCAAAAGGAAGAGATCGAAAGAAAAAAAAAAAATAATAATAATAAAAATAAAAATAAAAAAAATAAAATAAAATAAAATAAACGGAAGAGAGAGAGAGAGAGAAAAAAAATATTATTATTTTTCTTTATTTAAGTTATTTAACAAACTTATTCCTTCCTTTTTATCTATATCTATACTTTCTATATTTTTAATTTCTGTTACCAATTTGAAATCGTCGATTCCAAATTGACGTTAGACAAATCCGATAAAATCATTCGATACTCCAATTGACGTTAGACAAATCCAACTTCGAAAAACCCATCTCAAATTCAACAACAGAAGAATCAGATGAGACATATAAAGATTGTACCCACAAAATAATTTGCTATAACTAAAATCAAATTGTACGCAAATTTTATGTTTTTCATAAAATTCTTGGTTACGAGTACACATCCAAAAAATTTTAAAATATTTTACAAACTCAATCTTATCCAATGATGTCATTGCTACATCACCAGACAACTGAATCCAATCATTAACCCACAAATATTACATAAAAACTCCAATACAGGATGAAAAGGCATAGATTGGTGGTATCTCAGGCTACGGCATCTAAATCGTCTGTTTCTCCATCAATTATTCCCTGCTCATCGCCTTCAATTTGGCCCATCTCCAGACCGACATCATCTGAGCTGTGCTTTTGGTCCCCATCCCGCTGAGATGTGTTGCCAGACGGCGATGATGATGATGCAATCATCGCATCAGCATTGCCTTCAATTGGATTTGGACCCTCTCTTCTGCTCCCATCCACGTCTGTCTCGCTCCCACCCATTGCAATCTGTCAATTAAAACAAAAATGATATATATACATTATATATAAATCAATTGTTACTACACATTTCTCTAAAAAGTTTACTATTCGCTCACTAGATATTCATGTTAACAATCATAAATTGTACTATTTCTCATCACATAACAATTAGTTATTACTCTTCATATCACGTGATTCTCATTATAAAACTCATTAATTCT